CAGGGTAGTATGGGGGTTGGGGTACAGGTGGGGGGATAAGGGGAGCATGGAGGGGTTGGGGGGAGGTTTGGGGGGTTCAGGGGAGCACAGTGGGGTTGGAGGTGTGTGTTGGGGGGGTCAGGGTACTGTGGTGAGTTTGGGGGGGCAGGTGGGGAGGTAAGTGAGCATGGGGTAGTTGAGGGGCAGGATGGGGGGATCAGGGGACATCAGTGGGGCTGGGGAGCAGGTTGGGTGTGTCAGGGGAGCACTGTGGGGTTGGGGGGTTCAGGGGAGCACTGTGGGGTTGGGACCAGGTTGGGTGTGTCAGGGGAGGATGGTGGGGTTGGGGGGCAGGTTGGGGGGTTCAGGGAAGCACTGTGGGTTTGGGGAGCATGTTGGGTGTGTCAGGGGAGCAGAGTGGGGTTGGGGAGCAGGTTGGGGGGTTCAAGGGAGCACTGTGGGGTTGGGGGGCAGGTGGGGGGGTTCAGGGGAGCATGATGGGGTTGGCTCAGGTTGTCACGGTGGGGTTGGGTGTTGGGGTCTCCGGTGAAGGCTGTGAATGCCGGGTTTGGGGGGGACCCTAGAGCTTTGGGGGGGGGGTTTCGGTGGGGCTGCAGCCCTGGGGGGAGGGGGGGGGGGGGCGGGGGGGAAGCTGTGCAGCCACGTGGGGCGGCAGGACCCGGCTCCTCTGCCCCAGCACCTGCAGGTGCCACAGCACCCGCCGCCCACGGCTTCCCGTCCCCGCCGCGGGGGTCACCTCCCACCTCCCTGTCCCTCGTCCCCTGTCCCCGCTGCCCTTTGCCCCAGGCCCTTCCCAGCTCCGGGAAGGCCGGGGCCTCGTGCCAGGCACAGGGAGGTGACCCCTGCCCTCGCCCTCAGGCTGGCCCTCGGTGGCACCCACTGCTGCTGGCGCTGGCGGGGCCGGTGGCCGCCGGGGACCCCGCGGGGGCCCGCAGCGACCGGGCGGTGGGCGCCCTGGTGGGGGTCCTGCTGTGCCTGGCGCTGTGCCTGGCGCTGGCCTGGCACCACCTGTGCCGCCTCTCGGCCGGCCAGTACCACCCTTGGCCGCTGGGTCGCCGGGCCCTGGCGCTGCTGCGGGGACGGTGGCAGCGGCTGCGGGCGCTGGGGGACCCCGGCGAGGCACCCGGGGACAGCGACACGGAGGTGGCCGGGAGGGACGAGGACGAGGAGCTGATGCCCTGGAGCCTGGAGAGGAGGCCGGAGCGGGAGGAGGAGGAGGAGGAAGAGCGGGATGCGGCGAATGAAGAGGAGGATGAGCAGGAGGATGAGCAGGAGGCCGAGGCATCCCTGGCCTTGGAGGGTGGGGAGAGCCCCCCGAGCGGGGGGCAGGGGGCGGGGGGCAGCGCCGAGGCCTTGCTCAGTGACCTGCACCCCTTCTCGGGGACGGCGGCCTGGGAGGACGCGCGGCCAAACGTCACCGCATTGTGACGTCACCCCGTGACGTCACCCCGCGATGTCACCCCATGATGTCACCCCGTGTCGCCACTGCCGTGAGATGCCACCGCCCTGTGATGTTGCCACCCTGTTATGTTGCCACCCTGCCGAGTCAGCACCGCCGCGTGACGTCGCCATCCCGTGATGACACCACCGCCCTGGGATGTCACCGCCGTGTGAAGTCACCGCCGCCCCGTGACGTCGCCACCCTGCGACATCACATCCTTGTCCTGCGATGTCATCACCCTCTGACGTCACCTCGTCACCCCTCCAAAGTGATGTCACCGCCCTGTGATGTCACGTCGTTCTGACACCCCTGTCCTGCAATGTCACCCCCCGCCCCCGGGATGTCACCTCCTCGCGATGTCACTGCCCTGGCAGCAGAGGGACCCCTCCTCTGCCCCCAGCAGAGGCTCCCGATTGGCTGCACAGGCCTGGGCACCGGCCAATAAAGAGCAGCTCTGCCCAGTTTTGGCTGCCCGGGTAAGCCTGGGAAATGGGTGTGGCACAAAAGGGGTGTGGCATCACACAGGGGGTGGAGCCTGGGCCCCACCCTGGCAGGGCAACCTTCCCCCCCCCCCCCCCCCCGCCATGGGCCCCCCCAGGCCCCCCATGGGCAGCACAGGGACCATCACGGCCTCAGCAAGTCCTTTAATTGGCACAGATCCAGCAGCGGGGCCACGCCCCCAAGGGCCACACCCCAAAAGGCCACGCCCCAAGGGCCACACCCCTGGGCGGGCCCCATGTACCCCCCAGCCCGGCAGGCAGGGGGCTGTGCTGGATGGGGGGGGTGAACCCCCCGGAGCAACAGCAGCACCGTGGGGTCCCCCCCACCCCGTGGGGGGCACCGGGCCCCCCCCTCCCCCCCCCCCCCCCCCCCACCCCTACCTGGGCACCCGGCCCCGGCCCCCCTTCTGCTTCTTGGCCCCCCCGGAGGGCTTGATGGGCAGGGGGGCCGTGCCCTCGGGCGGGGGGGTCTGGGGGGGTCCCAGCTCCATGGGGTCCCCCGAGGCCACCGGCTTGAATGCCTCGAACGGGGAGAATTTCACAGGGCTGGGGGGGGACACGGTGGGTGGTGAGAGGGGCACCCACGGGGGGCACAGCCAGTGCCCCTCCCCAGCCCCGAGGGCATCAAGCCCCCCTCATACTCCATGAACCTTGCCACTGGACCCCCACCCACTCTCTTTCCCCCTTGGTGCCCACACTGATGCCCCCACCCCAAAACACCCCGTAGCCCCACCCCACCACCTCCCCAGTCCCCCCTCGTGCCCCCAGGATGGGGCAGGAACCTGATGGGGATGCTGAGCCCCCCCACAGCCTCTATGCACCCCCCCACTGCAGCCCCAGCACTGCCTCCTGTCCACCCCTGGGTGCCCACCCTGATGCCCCCATCCCCCTCAGCACCCCCATTCTCCCCCCGAGCCCTCCCTGCCCCCCCAGTACCTGACGGGGGTGCGGGGGCTGCTGTTGAGGCGTCGGGGCGAGCGCACCTTGGGCTGGAAGGAGAACCCCTCCTTGATGCTCTCCAGCACTGACGGGGCCACGTAGGTGAAACCCTGCGGGTTTTAGGGGGGTCAGCGGGGGGGCTGGGGGTGCTGGGGGTGCCCCTGCCCCCCCAGGCTGTGCCCCCCCCCTTACCAGGAAGGCCTGGTTGGCACTTTCACTGATGGCAGCGTCGTCGGGGCTGTCGACGGGGGTCTGGCGGGTGAAGCGGGTGTCGAACTGGCTCACATCCTCCTCTGACTGCTGTGGGGACACGGTGGGTGCTCCCATGGGAGCCCCCCAAAACACTCCCTCCCCCCCCCCCCTCTGCCCGCCCTCCGTACCAGGCAGGGTTTGAAGGGGGGGTCCAGCCTGCGCGCCAGCAGGTCCTCCCAGTTGATGTGGCGGAAGAAGGGTTGCTTCTGTGGGACTGGGGGGTGTCAGGCAGGACTGGGGGGGGGGGGTCACACCCGACCCCCCCACCCACCCCCTGCCCGCCCCTGTACCTGCACGTCGGCCGCATCCCCCGGGCCACCCCCCACCCGCTGGCTGGGGTTTCGCTTGAGGAACTGGAAGAGAAATAGGGATGGAAGAGAAACAGGGGCTGGAGAGGGGAATGGGGGAGGTGTTTTGGTGGAATCTGCTCAAATAAAGGGTGGGAGGAGGCGAGGGTCGGTTTGGGGGGGGCACCTTCTTGAGGAGGTCGCGGGCGTCGGGGGTCAGGTAGGGCGGCAGCACCAGTTTGCCCTTGAGGATCTTGTCGATGGTCTTCTTGCGGTTCTCGGCGGTGAACGGGGGCTGAGAGAGGCACCACGTGGTGAGGGAAAGCCAGGGGGGTGAGGAAGGCTCAGGGTCACCCGGGTGGGGACCCTCCACCCACCCCCAGGACCCCCCAAGCCACCTCCGGGACCCCTCACCCAATGACCCCCAGGCAGGAAGGAGCAGGAGTGGGACTTGCTGATCCCGTGAGTATCAGGGAGCCCTGGCTCCTCCTGGCAGGGAGCCCTCTCCAGGACCCCCACCCACCTTCAGGACCCCCCCCCCTTCCACCTGTCAGACCCCCCCAGGCCCCCGGGGAGGAAGGAGCAGGAGCGGGACTTGCCGATCCGGTGAGCATGTCGTACATCAGGGCTCCCAGGCTCCACCAGTCCACCGCCCGGTTGTGCCCGCTCCTCACCAGGATCTCGGGGGCCCTGCCAGGAGCAGGGGGGGTCCCTGAGCGCGCGGGGGGCCACGGCAGACACCCCCCCGCGCCCCCCCAAGTGCTGCATCCCCCTCACATGTACTCGATGGTGCCGCAGAAGGTGTGGGTGACGGCTCCGTCGTGGATCGACTCCTTGCACAGCCCAAAATCCGTAAGTTTGATGTGTCCTGAGGGAGATGAGGGGGGGAAGTCAGTCAGCACCATCCCTGGAGAACCCCCAAGCCCCCTAGACCCCCCCCAGCCCACCTTGGCTGTTGAGCATGATGTTCTCCGGCTTGAGATCCCGGTAGATGATCCCGTGGGAGTGCAGGTGACCCAGAGCCAGCGTGATCTCACTCAGGTAGAAACTGGGGCGGGATGGGGGGGGCTGAGAGCGGTGTTGGGGTGCCCACTCCCCTCTCCATGCCCACCACTACCACCTCCCCGCCCCTACCAGGCCGTGTCCTCCAGGAAGATTCCCTCCCGCTCCAGCTGCATGAAGAGCTCTCCACCTGCAAACAGAGCCCGAGTTGGACCCCCTGAGCCATCCCTGGAAACCTTTTAGCCATCCCTGGGACCCCCTGAGCCATCCCTGG